CAAATCATACATGCCCATGAAAAAATAATTTTAATAACTATGTTTTGCAATAATGTCAATGTCACATAATTAGGCCATATGTAAATAGGAAAATAGGGCATTGAAACTCATCATTGTCTCTTGAAGTTCATTGTAGAGGATATTGCTTATCCCATTACACAATATTCTATTTTGAGGATCCTATTGAGGATCCTATTGACATATTTCTTTCTAATTTTGGTACTAAAAATGAACATTTTTCCTCCATAACTCATTGATTATATGTTGTAGACAGGGCTGATCTATATAACTACAGATCTGACTTTCTTTTTGAAGTAAAGAATAAGAGATGTGGCTCCTCAGCAAAAAGTTTATTTGCAGTCTTGAAATCTGTTCTCTGATCCTTGTTCTGAATTCATTTCTGTATCTCCACATTTACTTTTTTTTCCTCAGAGTAAATTTATACATCTTTATAAACTATTTGTAATTTTTTTTTGTAAAAGTTAGGGCTTTAATCAATTAATTGATCCTATTTGCTTTTTCCATTTATCATTATTTAATTAAAATTGTCCTACCATGTTAAAACTGTGTAATATTTTCTGATATGAATGTACCATTATTTAATTAACCATAGTTACAGGGAGATAATAAATTGGTGTTCATTTTTTACTGTTATACAATTTGTAATAAACAACTTTGCACTTAAGTTTGCTCTACATATCTGAGCAAACTTAAGTGCAAAGTTGTTTATTACAAATTGTATAACAGTAAAAAATGTTATTACAAATTGTATAACAGTAAAAAAAAAAAATGTTTTTTTTTTCTGGGATTGGAGTTGCTTGCATGAATGCTCCTGAAATATATTATCAAATTGCTTTAGAAAGACTACAACAGTTTGCATACTCACCATGTGTCCATCCAGGTACTAATTCTACACTTTCACAGAGAAGTAACACTTAGTATGTACTATGGTCTGGTTGCCACTTGATCACCAGTGTGATTGTATTAGGAGATGGGGCCTTTGGGAAGTGATCAAGGCTCTGCCTTCATTAATGCCTTCATTAATGCCCTTATAAAAGAGGTCCTAGACCTTAGCAAATAATTTATGCCACATCCTCAAAAGCAACTTCAACAAAAACAAACATTGACAAATGAAACCTAATTAAGCTCAAGAACTTCTGCATAGCAAAAGAAACTAAGGGAGTGAACAGACAACCTACAGAATGGGGAAAAATAGTCACAAACTGTGCATCTGACAAAGGTCTAATATCCAGAATCTAGAAGGAACTTAAACAAATCAACAAGAAAAAAATGAAATAACCCATTAAAACAAGGGCAAAGGACATGATACATCTCAAAAGAAGACATACAAGATGCCAACAAACATATGAAAAAATGCTCATCATCACTAATCATCAAAGAAATGCAAATAAAACCCACAATGAAATATCATCTCACACTAGTCAGAATAGCTTTTGTTAAAAAGTCAAAAAATAACAGATATTGGTGAGGCCAAGGAGAAAAGGGAACACTTAATCACTTAGTGGAAATGTAAATTAGTTCAGCCACTGTGGAGAGCAATTTGAGATTTCTCAAGGAAGTGAGAGTTGAGCTACCATTTGACCCAATAGTCCCACTAGTGGGTATATACCCAAAGGAAAAGAAATTATCCTATGAAAAAGACACATACACCTATGTGTTCATTCCAGTGCTATTCACAATAGTAAAGACATGAAATAAACCTAAGTGCCCAACAATGGTCGCTGGATAAAACAAAAGTGGTACATATATACCATGGAATATTATGCAACCATCAAAAAGAATGAAATGTCCACTGCTGCAACATATATGCAGCTGGAAACCATTATCCTAAGTGAACTAATGAAGAAATGGAAAACCAAATATTACATGTTCTCACTTTTAAGTGGGAGCTAAAAATTGGGTAAACATGGACATAAAAATGGGAACAACAGACACTGGGGAATACAGGAGGGGAGGGGGAAAGAGGGAGCTAAGGGTTGAAATAAACTGCCTGTTGCGTACTATGCTCACTACTTGGGTTACGGATTCATTCATGCTCCAAGCCTCAGCATCATAAAATATACCTTTGTAACAAACCTGCACACAATTCTAAAATAAAAGTTGAAAAAAGTAAAAATGAAGAAATATATTTACAATAAGAAAAAATATACATTTTAAATAAAAATAAAACCAATCTCATCTTGAATTGTAATTCCCACAATTCCAACATGTTGTGGGAAGAACCTAGTGGGAGGTGACTGAATCATGGGGCAGGTCTTTCTCATGCTGTTCTCATGACAGTGAATGAGCCTCACAAGAGCTGATGGTTTTAAAAACAAGAGTTTTCCCTGCGTAAGCTCTCTCTTTTTACCTGCCGCCAACCACATAAGATGTGACATGGTCCTCCTTGACTTCTGCCATGATTGTGAGGCTTACCCGTCCATGTGGAATTGTGTTATTAATTAAACCTTTTTTCTGTGTAAACTACCCAGTCTCAGGTATGTCTTTATCAGCAGCATGAAATCAGACTAATACAGAATAGTAAATTATTTTTACCTTATAAAGTAAAAGGACAAATTATAGGTTTATTTTAAATATTAAGGTCTCTAATCATTTTAAAAATGTTTATTTTCATATATAACTGTTTTCTTTCTTTCTCTCTCTCTCTCTCTCTCTC